GTAAATCTTGTACAGAAACGAGTTTACTTCAATTATTTATGTAAAATAATAGGGTATGTTAGCATATATAGCTTACCCTCCTACTGAGATGCTTAATATAGTATACATATAAATTGTAACTGATATATAATATATATTAGCCTATATAATAACAAAATATATATTAAGAGATAGATAATATACTCATAATTTTTACTAATATTATTATTATATATATTACTATATATATATATAAATTATTTTATTGGATATATAAAAAGTACTTATATAATATAATCAATGATCAGGATACATAATAGGCGTATTCATATACGTGTGGGTGTTGTGTAAAACGTACATTATATAGTGGAGTTTATATTATATAACAATTAGGTTGAACATATGATACAATAAGTAGATCGGGAGGACGAAAAAACAAACTTATGTCAACTTAAGATGGAATCGAGATCCACTAAAGTTCATTAGTCCACTTATTTGTAAACAGATATCACTAACATTAAAATCTGTATCAACAGAACCGTCATAATTTCATCAACTGAAGATGTCCACATTGATTAGAAGCTATTTAGACATTGTGGGATACAGATTACTATAAACACCGCATTTCGGCGTTGCACAGCTTGAACTACATATCTAAACCCCAACACACCAAATTTAGGGTGAAGCGCCATGCGTGATTTTAACCCCTCCGCGCAGTCGCATAGAAAAAAGTTATTGATTCGGAGTTAGAAACCGTTAAGATTGATCCACGAGTTTGATGCATTTAGGATCAACCACCCGACGGTTACACTCCCAAATTTGGTGTGTTGGGGTTTAGAATATGTATCACAAGATTGGATTAACCGGGAGCGGATCATCCCACGATACATTATGTAAGCTCAAATCAAAAGTGATCATCAATGACTAAGACTTTGTGGCGTCCACGTTAAAGTTGATCCAACTAAGTTTCTTTTCCTCTCTTCTATTATAAAAAAGGATATCAATCATTAGTTGTATCATACTAACATTATATATTCATGTATGTATGTATGATGGTATGTATGTATATGTATATATATATATATATTATATATATTATATAATATATATCATATATATATATATACAACTTCCAATCAGTTCACACAATACATATATATATATAAGACTAACACACACACACACACACCAGCCACACACACACAATTTTCTCGTGAACTACAATCACTAACACATTTTGGTGATCCACATATAATATATATATTATAAGTATATTAGTATACTATATTTTTAATTTACTACAACTTATTAAATATATATATATATATATATATGTACGTATATGTATGTAATATATGTATGTACGTATATAACATATATACATTATATAATACTATTTTATATATACTAACTTATTTATAATTACTATATAGTATTAATATATACTAGTCTATTATATAAAGCGATATATAGTAAGCATATTTTTATATATTTATAATATCCCTAAAGGAAAACAGGTAACGGATGACATATAATAACACTAAGACATTCATCTACCAATACTAGGCACGTACATATATTAAAATATAAATACTTTGTATTGCGCTATATTATATATTTATATATATTAGTTTATATATTTGATTTATATATATATATGATATATATATATATATATATATATATATATATAATTATATATATAAAGAGATAGCAAAAGTGGAACTAAGATAAATTACTCTATGAATAATGTGGAGGAGTGTGTCTTCGTCCTTTTTAACTGATCCAAGCATTAAACTTTTTCTTCAAACAATATGTTTTTGTGATTATAAGATTCTGCAATAATCCATGTCAAACGATTAGACATTTTTGATATATATTCAGTTTAAATGCGTTTTCAAGGTTTGCATCATGGACTAGCCATTAAGACAGTATGTAGCACTTGGTTACTAACAACGGACGCTACTTTTTCCATTTGGCACGCAATATACATTGAGTGTTTGACTTTAACATACTGTAGAAGCGCGTTTAATTTCAGCTAGATCATAACCACACAAATGAAAGAGGAGATGCATCACATTTAATCCTTTGGGAGTCTAAAAATATAGAAGCTTTGTTGAATTTAATATGAACATGAACTTAATAGAATAGAAAGACAGATTCCGCCAAAAAAAGCGCAACCAACTAAAAGGTGTTAACGAAAAAACACACATTAAAAATAATAAATAACCACGGCACTCTTAGGTGGCAGAATCAAGAAGTGAATGCTATGGTGCAATTAAGTTTGCACTAAATGTTCTAGGTATATTGACGAACAAGCACTCGAAACAATGTTGGCAATCAACCAAGAAGGTCAATTTCGCAATAGTGATTTCTCATAAATCAAGCTAAGAGAGAGTCTATGCTATCATGAATTCACAACCCTCCTTACGATTTTTAATTTTGAATAAGTTCAATTCTTTTTCGGCTTCAGAAAATTTGACCGTAAATTTCAATCATGGAATTTGAATAAAATTAATAATGATTTTCTCAATGAAAGATTATTCAGTTCTAGTGCTACTGTTTCAAAACGAACTGCTCTTAAGTAATCAGAATTCAAAACCCTAAGCAAGCAAAATGCCAGTCCAATAACAGATTTTTTCACGTTCATGGTGCTATGACCATAGTAAGACACCGCTTACACTTTATTATTATTATAATTGATAATATTAACATTCTTTTGTTGTATTCTTTCTCAAGCATGTAGTATCTTACTATGTAAAAGTACTTGAATAGGAGCATTCTAATTATCGGAGTTACATATTCAGCAATAAGATTAGGTAGTTCTCCCGCATATACAGTCAGATCCTTAAATTATGCTCACGTAGAAGCGGAATGGCGAGGTGAAGCGACCAAGTTTTGTGTCTCGGGGCTTTTCTAGGATGGCTTGGGTGCGGTGCTTAAACGCGGGGAACAAAACACAGCGTGCAAAGAAGAGTATTAGTCCCAAGTTCGTCAACTCATAATGGCCGCTTAACGCAGGCCTGTCATGTGTAAATTGTCATTTGCTTAGTTGGGGATAATATAGTCGCTTAATGTAAGGGCCAGCCTAATCAGCGCACTTCACAAGAATATTCGTTTAAGACGTAGATAATTTATCATAAAGAGACTCTTTCCTCTGCACTACCATTATCATAAAGATTTCCTTATTGGTTGAAAAATCAGGTCATACTTCTCTCGCAAATCCTATTGAAAACTTAAAGGGATCTATAGTTATTATATCCTTTGTGCAGAATTATACCTTTTATAGTTCATTACTCCATTTTTCGTTCGAGTATATGTTTTTATATAAGGAAGTTCGTGGTAATATGTGCTAACCATTATGATTTGGAATATTCATCAAGCACAGCGTTCAAAAAATCATCCTCGAGGGGGCAGGTCAATACTATAATAAGTTGTCCCAGTCGCTAATAAATATAACATTCCCTATAGATCTATAGATTTACGATGGAATGAAAAAGACATATCTGGAAGAATCGTAGCCATAGAATACAACCCAAATCAAAATGTATACATTTGTCTCATACACTATGGGGATGGTGAGAAGGGATATATTTTACATCCCAGAGGGGCTATAACTGGAGATACCATTGTTTCTGGTACAGAAGTTCCTATATCAATGGGAAATGTCCTACCTTCGATTTACGTAATTGGAAGTAACCAATTAGGTTTATGACAAAACCTAGAAATCAATCACTGATCCTGTAGGTCTCCACAACCCCTTTCGGATAGAGGAACAATTGCAAGAAAGTAAAATTATTAGAGATAATGATAGAAGAAATATTAATATAGTTTTTCCATGAAATTAAAAATAGACAAGAAAGTTACATTAAGTATTCGGAGATTGAAAATACAGGATATAGGTCTACAACAAACGAGTAATACATTGAATATAGGAGCACTAGGGGACTGTTTGGTTTCTAAGCTTAGTCGAAAAATCCTAAAAATTTCTTCCACAATTGTTATAATTTACACAAAATGTTTTGTGTTATTTTAGAATCAAGCTAACATGATCAAATAATCATGTGTTCTATTCTACAATCAAGCTACCACGATCAAATGATCGGTCAATCGTATTTAAAAAATACAATTTTTTATCCTACGTGTATGATCACAATCAAGGTTTTAAATATCGAATATCGGGAAAATATCAGATGGCCAAAATTCATATCGGATTGTGGATATCCGGGATATAGGGTAAATATTAGAATGCCATAATGGATGTTTTCATATATAGTATAATGCACTAAAATGTAATCTCAACATACTTACAGAAATCTAAGAATACAAAATGTAAATAATATATGCTTTGGATCAATAATCCACCTTGTAAAACAAATAAAAATACAAATCAACATTGCAACATTTTGTCTGATTTTTTAGGCCAAAATGTCAATATGATATAATGGGAAAATCATGATATCTCGCCCAAAAATTGCCAAACACGGTATATTATTTTGCGATAAGCCATTAAAGGATATATCGGCCAACATATAGTTGACACGTCGGTCATATCAGGGATATAACACCCAAAATACCCAAAAAGCGGTAAAGGATATTTAGAGACCATATCGGTTGTAGCAAGCCCTGTAAAAAGATATATCGGGGGATATATCGGGCCATGTCGGGGATATTTAAAACAATGATCGCAATCCTCCCAATTACTCCAAATACTTCAATTTTTTTGATTCAGTTCCTATCATGCATTTAACCTGATGAAATTAATCCCAATAAATAGGTATTACCAAAAATGAGAGTATAAGGGTAGTGTACCTTATTGGAACTTCAAAAGGATGTAAGTGCAAGGCTAAGAAACGAAAGAATCAAAATACTCGGGAATTAATTTTTTTGTTCTACTAGGAAGGTATAGTATGAAAGATGATACATAGCACAACGTTTGACAGAAAGCTTTACAAAGAAGAGAAGTGACCTCATAAGATTCTCGTTGATGTAAGAAAAACTATAAATAGTACCCAAAAGGATATTGTGCAATATATTTTGTGAAAGAAAGAGGTTCTGATGCCTATCTTGCTGTGATTAAGGAAGTACCTGACAGAATAGTAACCATTAGACAACAAGATGAGAGATGAACTCAGTCTTAATAACCAGAAGTAATATCAAAGATTCACATTAAGAACTTACCTCTTTATATTAATTACAATTGAATTTACTATGAATACTCAAGAAAAGGACAAGAAGTGCATGTATTAGTGGTATATGTTGCATGCGAAAGATATAGTTCAAGTTGATGAGAGAGACTAATGGACGAAGTCTAAAGAAAAATTACAGAAAGAAGGTTTAGAACCTAGAAAGTGTAAAATTAGGCTGTAATTATATAAGAAATGAATGCATTCATATAACGAAAGCAGGACGAGAGGGAGAAACATTATTTGAGATGGTTAGGACATGCTCAACTAAAGCAGAAGAATATATATTTCAGGACGGTAGCACCAGATGAACTAGACCAACGTCAAACATGCCACAAATCAGGATATCCCTAAAAACAATGAAAATAAAGGTGGCCTTTTACAGAAATACAGCTCTGTGGAGAAAAAGGCTATTCAGGTAGCTTACCCCAAATATTGGGGTTAAAGCCGTTGCTGCCATTTTGGCGGTGTTCGCAACACCTAAGTCCAATTTGATTCACCAGAAAGCTATGGGAGCTTTTATCTTTCTTTTGATGTTCTTAATCATACTTCTTATAGTGAAAATGATAAGTGAATGTTCAATACTTTAATTAGCCGACTGGGACACCTTATACTTAGTGGGAATTTGCAGGCTGCCAAATATGTAAAAATACCATCTACACAATTCAATGAAATGTAAACAAAATGATGGGCATAATGTACAATATGATGCCAGAGAGTAGTACCTTTAGCAGATCAATTTCTTGCTGTATCATGGAATGTGCCCACGTGTGCGAAAAGATTGCAGAAAAAGAGGACGGTGAGAAAATATATTAAGGAATAGCTCAAGTATATAATTTCAAAAGCAATACAACCAAAAGAAATGCTTATAATTATAATTATAATAATAATAAAGTGGAAGACGTGCATGCTTTACTATGTACATCAGCAACATGAAGTGAAAAATACTAGTTATGCCATGGCATTTTAGCTTTGCTAGGGTTTAATTCTGATTACTTAAAGCAGAGTAATCGTTTGAAACAGTGAGCAGAACTGAAGTAATCTTTCCATGAGGAAAAAAATCATTATTATCTTTATTCAAATTCATGATTGAAATTTACGTCCAAATTTCTCGAAAGGAAAAAAATTGATTTATCAATTAAATCTAGAGCTAAGATTTAGTTTCAATGACTTGGTGGTTCATTAAAATAACAAGTAACATGATTTAAGGATATACTTCTTATGCACACAAGGGTAATAGACAGATTTCCAATTCACTGGAGACATTTTTAGGTAAACCCAATGGCAAAAAATAATAGCAAGTAAACCAAACAACATGAACTTCGCTTGATATTGCTCTCTTCTTTGGATTAAATCTCTCTGACAACGATAAGTAGAATAGTTTAGTTGTAAGTAATAGCTAAAATATCACACAACATAGTTCAAGGAATAGCCTCTTTAAACATGCAAGCAGTGTAACACAAGTGATCCTTTTGAGGTCGAAGATCCAGTAACTTAATAGTGGAAGAGCTCCCAAAAGTGCAATGTTATAGTGCATTTATTTTGCATTGTGAAATAGTGACGTCTCTGTGATACTACAGATTAGGTTAAGGATATTGTCCTTTACATAGTGTCCATATCGTCTCCTATTAACCATTACCACTTCTGCTTTTTAGCTTTTCAATAAAATTAGAAAAATATTGAAAAAGTTCATCTAAATTTTGTGGCAGCATATTACTAGCATCATACAAGGAGGAGCAGAATTATTCACAAAATGAACTTTCTGCAGAACTAACAGCATACATGGACACAGTACTCGAAAAGCTTCATGGCGAACTTCTTCAACTCCTTTTCAACGGATGAGTTGTATGTACGAGTTGTACATACATGCCCGTTTGCTTAAGGTAGCAAAATAAATTATTGGCCAGACTACATAAACTCAAATGCCCGCTAAATTATCTGTCTTTGCAATTTAGTCTTATCAGTTTATTAAAATACCCGACATGTCAGCGAATTGTTAGCCAGAGATGATTGGAAGTTTTAAAGTGCCAAGGCCCATGATTATCTTATACATGTGTGAATTAATCAACAAGTCATTCGCCTCGTTCAAAAACCATTTAGTTCCAAGTTTTTTCTACAATTAAGCGATGAAAACGAAAGAAGAACAAAAAGAGTCCATACCATTATAATGCTGAGATCCTCTTGTGGAATGTTCTCCAATGAAACCTGCTTAATCGCCACAAAATCCCCATTCTCCAAATCCAAACCTTTATAAACCCTCCCATAAGCTCCCTTCCCAATCTCATCTCCAAGCATCTAATGACAAAATTCACATCAAAAACCCCATAAAACCCAACGAAAATTGAACAAAAAATGTCAAAATGCTCACGTATTTGTTGTCGAGGGTCTTGGATTTGTGGAAATGCGCGGTTGTTGACTGCCGAGACATCGCGAAGATGAGAGAGAAGCAGAAGGGAAACCCTAGCTCTGGGAATCGAAAACCCTAACCCCAGCTTTTTGGACGACGGTGCTCGGATGAGGCCTCAGAAGCTCGCCGCAGCTGACATCGGTGGTGACGAGATCGCGGGAGCGAGCGATCCAGACAAGAGGAATTAGGGTGAGGACTTCGATGAAATGGATATTTAAGTTGGATCGGGTTTATGCCTATTTAATTAAACGGGTCGGATGGGATTATACCTTGACACTAACCAAATACAAAAACTTGTATCGGCTTGGTTCTGGTTGTTGAATTGCTCACGTCATATTTCTATTGGCTAAATTACCATATCGGTACTTCAACTTGATCATATTTATTAATATGGCATCTATTTCTACTTTGGCATCAATATGGTATTTAAACTTCGGCATTTTTAGCTATAAGATTTTTTTCTCGCCAATTACGAGAAATCTAGCAAACTGTAATTTTCTTTGGGAAATTTGTTCCATCGGACTGTCCTATCAAAACTATGAAATCTACATTATTGTTCTCCTTCAACATCTCTCAATTCATTCTTCCACTCTTTACTCAATAAAATCCTCCTTTGCTCATCAATGGAGCCTCATCTTCTCCTTCAACATCCTCCAATTCAAACCTAAATCTTAATACAACCCTAACAATCTTCATCCAAGCCGATACCAATTTGGATTAGGGTTTAGATTTGAATTAGGAAAGGTTGAAGGAGAAGGAGGGGATCCAATGATGAAGGGAAAGGAAGAGTGAAAGATGATCTTATTGGTTAGAAGATGGAAGAAATTTGACGTCGGAGCTAAAATAAATGCATATTAGATAATAGGATCAAATTGGAATATCAATCTTGTAATTCAGCCTGTTTGTATTTGAATAAAGAAAGCATTATTCGTGACTCACGAGTTCCATGACCCGAAAATAAAATATCTCATGATCCAATTCAATCTTTTCATGTTTCTAAACCCTATATCAATGGCTAAGCCAAAGTTATCCAAGAAGGTCTAGATAAGCTGTATATGAGTAGTACTCAAATGTCTCAAGTTCGATTTTCATGGGGAACATCCACGCGAATTTAATTTCATGGAATACCACGAGGACGTGCATGGGGGGTGCCCCTCAGCCAATGCCTGGGGGGTTGATATCCATGGTCTGAAGGATAAGGCAGAAGTTCCATGCTAAGCCAAAAAAATTGCTAAACCAAAATTGTTTAAAAATGTGAAATCCTCCAAGTATGTCTTAAAATTCCATCCTTGTATCACATTAATTGCCTTCATGTCACACCCAAGGCTCCACGCATCAAGACAAAAACAAAAGAGGTAATAACAACAAAAGAGGTAATAACGGCTCTTCTAGGAAAATCTAGGGTGGCCCTAAATGCATGCTTAATTTGGAAAATTTGTACATACACCCCCCTCACTATTAGTCTTAGGTGAGTGCAACCCCATTAGGTTTTGCTACGTTTGATTCACATTAATTTCATTTTTGTTTCTATATGGGGATCAAAAGGCAGGTGCTCTCAAATTTCTCTCCCAACGTTTCAAAATCTCTTATATATCTAGAAGATTTCAACATGCCATGGTCATCGTAGTTATCCTATTTCATCTTCATCTTCATCTTCATCTTTTGAGTCATTTGGTGCTTCCTTCTGGTGCCTCTCTTCATCATGGTAATGCATAATTACTAACTTTTGTTTATTTATTGTGTAATGGATGATTTTTTTTCCTTTTTGTTTTTAAATTTTAGTTTCATAGGTAAACGATTCAATTATGGGAATCTTAGTTTTTATTTTGAACAAATTTTTGATTTAAACCCATTTCAACTTTTTATTTTACAAACCGACCAACTTTTTATTTATTTAGCGGAATCGACCCACTTCTCGGCCACGTCAGCAGCGTGGCCGAGAAGCGGGTCGATTTTTTTTTAATCTCATCACTAAATAGTCGGGGTTGGCAACCCCGACTATTTTTTCAGTAGAAAAAATAGTCGGGGTTGGCAACCCCGACTATTTAGTGATGAGATTAAAAAAAAATCGACCCGCTTCTCGGCCACGTTGCTGACGTGGCCGAGAAGTGGGTCGATTCCGCTAAATAAAAAGAGGGTCGGTCGATTCCGGTAAAAAAAAATGGGAATGAGTTTAAATCAAAAATTTGTTCTTTTATTTTTATTTTGGAGAAGCCATTTGTTAAAGGGAAAAGGGTGTGCTTGACTTATAGGATTTGAGTTTTACCTTATTGGATCTTTTTAAAAGAAAAGAAGAAATACTTTCTCAAAATTTCTTTATTTATACTGACCTTCTACTTATTTTTTATTTTTCCCCCTTTTTGAAAATGTGGGCCATTTAGGAGGATTTACTCCAAATTAAGAAGAATATTAGAAATCATGTTTTCTTATGAAAAATATGACATTCTGTGACTTAAGAGAGAATACAAGATGCTTTGGATTAGTTTGTATAAAGAGTAAATCATACCCTTGTATGCGATTGCCTATCGGGTCAAACAAATTGATATATAACCGACCCATCTTGTAACTAGATTAACCATATGTGATCCATCTAATTCGAAAGATTATTATGTGTCAAAAGTCCAAAAAAGTAAATACAATTTATGCTTTATGCTTCATTAATAACAAAACTATATTTATTCACTACTTATATGATCATTTTTTTTTCTTTTAAAAAGTTTGTTTATTAATTGATGAAACCTGTTTTTTAATCGATGAAGCTGGATTAAGTGGCTCGAATTTCTTAACCTGAAAATAGAATTTTCAACTCAGTATCTAATTTAAATTGTTATCTGACTGAAACCTATGCCTGAATTTTTATTTTCAATTGTATTGTACTCCGTTGACATGATTTATAAGAGTTGAAGTCTACTGATAAACATTAGAAAATTAAGAAACTTAATGGATCGTTATAAAATCTTTAATTAATTGAAATACTTGAAATGAACTACAGGAGGTGAGCACAGATCAAGGTGAATATGTAGACTGCAAAGGGAGGAGCAGTCAAGCTAACAAGCATGGTGGGAAAAGGGCAGCTACCTTTGTCTGCTGTGAGTTTCTTCTACCTCTTAAATGTTGCATTTCGCTATCAATTATTGTGTAAATTTAACAGATGCAAATAGGAGTTGCATGGCATCGTGTGAGTAGTGGCAGAGGTTGTGATTAGTTGGAAAATTTACTCCAGGATTATTTTTCCTAATAATACAGGTAATCGAGGATTATGCACTAACATTCCTCTCGGTCTCGGGTGTTGTGTGTGCAGTGACAGAAGTATTTTTGAACATGGCGTTCATCTCAAATGCATCAAACATGGTCACCTACTTCATTCAGTACATGCATTATCCTATACCAAAAGCTGCAAACATGCTTACGAATTATATGGGGACTTCATTTATATCCCCCTTAGTCGGAGGATTCATTTCTGATGCTTTTATTAAGAGGTTTTGGGCGATCATCATCTTTGGTATCACACAGTTATTTGTAAGACTTCTAACCCACATTTGCTCGTTCTACATTTGATGTGCTTGTATAGCTTTAGACATTGAGATTGTGAGTAAAATTTCACCTGGTTGCGAGACTGAACGTAGAACCTCCTGAACTTTGAGGTGTTTTACATATAACATGTTGATAATATTGTGTTAGTAGTGGGTTTAGTCCCACATTAGTTATGAGGACAAACCCACTCATATCATATATAATAACTATATATATATTATATATATATATATATATATATATATATATATATATATATATATATATTATATATATATATATATATATGTATATATATATATATATATATATATATATATATATATATATATATATTTGTGTTGTGCTGGTGTGTGTGGGTGTGTGTGTGAGAAAATTGCGGTATACTTGGTACCCAACATATAATTTTTGGTGCTTGGTAGTGAGGGTGTCTCCATTCCCATCCAACTCATTCAATTGGGGGGACCACATTAAACCCATGTGAATGTGGTCCCCCTATTTGAATGAGTGGAGGATAATATGTACATCACTACCAAGCACAAATTTTGTGCTTGGTTACCAAGCATACCCATATTCCTCTATATATATATTATATAATGTTGGTGTGTGTGTGTGTACACACGTAATATTCAATTCAAGAGAAATTTACCCAAGACACACACACTCTCTCTCTCTTACTTTAAACATGGTATCAGAACTTGGTTTAGGGTTCCCAAATAATAAAAAATTCCAAATAAATAAAAATTTCCTTCTAAGGTCGCGCGATCTCAGTCGTCACAGGGAGATCTCGGCCCCTACCACTATCGACGAGTCTGCCGTTTGCCCACTGTCGCAAATCTCGGTGGAGATTTGCTTAATCCCGCATTCCCTGTGTTAGAAATCGTCTATGGCCCCCGATGATCCTGCTTGCTCCCACATGTCGCCCTTATTTTTCGACACAATCTTTGCTAATTAGAGCCGATTTAATTAGAGATTCCATTTTGCTTGAGGATTTATCTAACCTTTTAATATAATATATAGTATATATATATATATTATATATATATATATATATATTATATATATATATATATATTATACTATATAGTATATTATATATTATTATATATCATATATTATATATTATATATATATATAATCTTCGGCGTTTCATTCTAACCTTCGTACGTTTTTTTTGTTTAAAGTTTATTATCTTGAACTTCGGGTTTGTTGTTATCGGCTCTTCAGAGAAGATTCCTAAACCACCCCTGCCCCTCAATGATCAAAGTGACTGGGCAGGGTGGTCCACCATTGTCACTGATGCCTTGTGTTTCGCTAGTATTGTTAATCACCTCACTATTATGGGACCAGTTCCACCGTCCATCAACACTATTGCTTCATCCAGTATTGTTACATCTGGAGTAGTGATGTCGATCTTCAGACCGCTCGTGCTCTCTATGTTAAGGAGAGTTTGGACTGGTAGTTGCAGGAATTTTGTGTCATAGATTATCTCACTCGCTGTGTTTGCTCCGGTCTCATTGTCTGTAGGCTGTCTAAAAATCATAATAGATAGCTGATCCTCATCAAAACACCGATGATGGAAGTTACACTCTGACGACTTCCAGAAGGTTATAATTTGAAGACTTTCATGTAGACTGATGAAGGTTACAATCTGACGACCTTTGCAACAACTGATGAAAGCTCTGATCAACAGCCT